GTAGATTTTGCGACATATTCCGTTATTTTAACGCAAAGGTGCTCTTGAAGTGTGCAAACACGTGTCAGTAAAATATAGTCTGCAAAATCCATACATATTAACTGAAATTGTCGCAAAAAGTATGGTTTGAAATATCTTTGTACCTGTACTTAGTGAGCCTCTTTGTGAAAGACTTGCTCATGGGCGACAAAGAAATCCAACAAGTTCATAGCAAAAATAAAGACTTGCAACAATCAAAGTTTACAGACACAGAGTAAAAGAGAAAAAGTCCAGATGTTTAGTGCATTTTTCTTTCACTTTGGTCACACTGAGATTTGAGAAAATAGTACTAAAAATCGAGCAAAATAATTTGGATACTTGTTGGTCTTGTTTTGTATGAGTATCCATTACTTCCAAGGGGGAAACAGCGTACTCCCGTACTCCTTGTACTCTTTGTACTTCTTGTACTCCACGTACTCCCTGTACTCCACGTACTACGGAAGTACGGGAGTACGGGAGTACAACATTGTATAATAGAATCTACTTGGAGCATGGGCTCATACTGTCTTTAATTTTGCTTCTTAGTTTTATAATTTTTTCCTTATATCTGGTGCAAATAGAAAAGCGATTAATAATCGACTAGACCTACCTATATATGGTTAGTTCGAATAACAAGTTGATAGAATTTTCATATAATCATAGTACAGTTCAGAGATCTACAAATGCCTTTGAACTGTGGACATAAGTTTCTTTTCAGTATTAGTATGAGTATATAAAATATAAGTCTGTTAGTTGGGTCTCTCAATCCATATAAGGATATGTACATTCATTAACGAATAAACAGGTTGATAGTATATAAGTGTTCAAAAACACACACTTAAATGCATGTTCACAGATAAGTAAAAAACAGTAAGTTTATTTCATGGTTAAATTATGATTTAAATATCTGTTGGTTAACATCATTTAACAAATTGATTAGAAAACTACGTTTCTATTGTAAAGTACAATACTATTAGTTACTGTCACATTTGATTATTTTTTTATTTATTTCAATACGAGAAGCGAAATGTATATTTATTGAAGTTTTTTCTAAAAAAACAATCAAAACACTAACTTCTATCCAAAACAATGACAGAAAGCTCTACTGAATCATTTCAGTCCTATTTTTGCATTACACGAGTGAGACGATCATTTGATAAGGCTGCTTTGTTTTCAGTTAAGAGCCAACAAGCGGTCTGCTTGTGAATGAATTTTCTCTTACCATCTATTTCCACTTCAAAATACGATTTTGCTAATTCTGCACGAACTTTATCAAATACCCACATTCCAGAAAACGTAGCACCCTGTAAACCATATAAGACTCCATTGGATGAGACACTTGATGTATCGTCCTGTTCATCATCAAATTGTTGATCTTCATTTTCAATATAACTTTCTGAATCTAATATAACATCTAATTCATATTCCGAATTCGATATTTCATCCGTTTCTTCATATAAGTTAGAATAATCAACACTATTTACTTTTTTATTGAGCACTTTTCTAATGGAATTGCTCAGTTGATTCATATTTATTATGTTTTTTTCATCAAGAATTTCTTTAAGTTGGAAACTAGATAATAATTTAGTAGCATCAGTAAAAGCTTGAGAAACTATTTTTGTAATCATGCCCGCGTTGAGTACATTATTATTTGGAATTGTATTTGCTGATTTTTGTAATTTCTTTCCTTGTTTATAATGTTTCGGGAAATTAAGAGCATCATTAGTTGAAGAAAACTCGCTTTCAGTTTTAATTTTGTGTAAAAGAGATAACTTTTGAGCTCGACTCAGAAATTCTTGTATACTAAAATTTACTACAGAAGAAAATGTGCCAGACATTGAACGGGCTGACCTAAACATTCCTTCACATGTTTGAGAACTAAATAAATAAATATTCATCGCTTCAGGTGGTAATTTTTTTTCTATTACTAACAAAGCAAGATATGTAAGTTGGTGGGCATTGATTTCAATTGAATGATAAGCGCTATTGGTAATGAAAAATTGCCTTTTATCGTTTTTTTTCTCCTGATTAATTACAATATCATTAAATTTATATAGATGGTTATCTAAATCAACTTTTGACATATGCTCAAGCCACATATACCACCATCGACTAATAAAGACTGAAAACCAAGCATGATAAAGTCGATCAATTGAAGTTGTATCCTTATCTATGTAAGCAATCATAATTGAACGAAGTAAACGAAGATACATAATTGTACCTTCAGTATTAGGTATAACCATCAAACTGTTAATTACAGCCTCGCTACAAATCTTAATACAGGAGTTAAAGTTTTGGCGATCATTTGGATATATATCAGATTTTACTAAACCATGTCGTAATTTAGAAACATTTTCAATTAATGTTGAGAGATGATTAATAGAAATGCAACTATTACCGATTAACAAATTTGCTACACGAGATAATAATCTGTTACGTAATTTTGTGCAAAGACGTGTAGCATCTTGAAAACATAAAAACAGTTGACTATTATTAAGAAAATACCAATCCCATTCTTTTGGAATGTTAACATGAAATGCATCCCTGTAACTACTTAATTTTATATTGGGCAGTGAAGCAAAAAAGCCGGTAATAAGGCGCATTACGCGCAGGTATTTTGGATCTCCGTCAGTGGAGAATCCAATAATACGAACATTTTTTAATAAACTTTGTTCGAATGTCCAAATCCATCGACGAATAATATCGATCGATTCATATTGATTATTAGTACCAAAAGCACAAAGTAAAAATGGATTTGGTATCATCTGCATTTTTGTGATGGGCTGAATCATATGGATGTTAAGTAAGGGTGAACGGTCTTCAGTAGAAAACCACTCACGAAGTTGTTCAAAAGAGTCCGTTTGGTAGTGCAGATCAAGAGGTATTCCATTATTAGAAGGTGTAACGAAACCAACAAAAGAATTAGTAAGACTGTCATAAGATATTTTCTTAATAACTGCAGTACAATCTTCCGAAGCAAATGCAATAGTTGTGTTAAGAGAATTCATATGTGCTTTTAATGAATTAAAACGAAAATCTGCTTCATTTATTCGAGAATCTGTATTTGAAATAAGTTTTTGAACAGTGGTTAAGGCTGGAAGAGCGCCAGGTATGTTCCTTCGAACAAACTCATATGCCATTTTTCCGCTTAATATATAAAATGATATTGCAAATCGAAGTACAGATTCATTATAACGATATGTGTTTTTAGAACGACATAAATTGTTACTAATATTGTCAAGAAAAGAAGTTAAAAAAGAAATATCTTCGGAGTTATTTTCATTATTTTCATTATCTATTGTTTGATAATAATTAATTAAAGATTTTAACACAGGATGTTTTTGAAGAAAAATTGATGAGAGAGTTACATCATCATCGTGTAAGATTGTTGATCCTGCTGCCTGTTGTTTTTTACCATTAGCTGTTTGTAAATCTCGAATTAAACGTTCTAACGAGTTCTGAATGCCCCATTTAACTTCAACAAAACCATCATCATGCTGAAAAGCTAATTTATTTTTGATCATTTTTAGTTTTTCCGAATTAAATTGTAACCAATCAAATAAATTCTCTACTCCCAATAATGACTGGACAGATGAAATGCCCAAAACTTTCATAAATTCTAATACATCATCACCACATCTTTCTTTTATTATTTGGTAAAAATTATCATCTTGATAGTTGAGAACATCAGATGGTAAAGATCTGAACATTGTCTTCCTATTAAATGCAATTTTTTCACTAAGCAAGGACAAATATCTCGAAGAACTTGAATAAATAATTGGATATCTGTCGGATACAATATACAAAATTATTTTAATGAATACATTTCTAAAGATACTTACCAACTCTGATTTTTAAAATAAATCACGATAGTAATCGATATCAACTCTATAGTTTTTAGTAAAAGTTTCAGAGTATAGAGATAATTGTTCAAATTCTGAATTGAAATTTTCCCAAAGACGAACTTTTTTCCTGTAACCAACTCGGTTTGTAATTTTAAATTTTTTGTGAATAAATTAGGATGTAAAGAATAAAGAATATAATGGAAATCTAAAATGTTTTTCGTATACAAAAATCAAATTTGACACTATGTTTAACTAAAAAAGCAATTGAAAATCTCTTTAAATACATACAGTTATCTGTATAGATATACCAACTAAAAAATAATGATAAATCGAGTATAGTTAATTTAAAAAATATAGACACGATACGCATAATTTCGACAGAAAAAAATCACTTGCCTTGTTGGATCCGGTGCACTATGATTTGACAGGCGATTGATAATATTCTTGTGTATACAGAATCCTTGGATATTCTCCCTGTCGAATGGCATAACCGGGGCGTTTCTTCATCATAAAGTGACAGAGAAATCGACAATCCACTATCATAAGCTCCATCTGTTGTTATTGGAAATTGTTTTCTCTAAAATACTGACCAGCTATTTTTTAATCCTAATAACGACTCACCATAACAAAAAAAGTATCAACGACTTCATCAACTGCATAACATATCTGTTTATAATAATGCGTTTTGTTTGGGATGTGTAATTAACTGTTCAGCATTATTAGAAAAACAATCTCTAGTAACAACAGATACAGCTCTTGATCGTAGACTGCTGATTTCTCTGTCCTTTAATGATGAAGAAACACCTCGGATAAACTATTCGACAGAGGAATATCCAAGACTTATTTATATACAGGAATATTATTAACCAAGTGTAAAATTGCTGCGTACCGAATCTAACACGGCAAGTAAATATTTTCCTGTCGTTATTGGGCATATTGGCTATGGAATATAATCAGAATCCTAAAAAGAAAACTTAGTAGAAAAATCAAGTTATATTTCATGTTAATCATCATCAATATCTAATACTCATTTTTTTATTAAACCAATTATGAATGTAAAGTGTTAGTTTTGAACAATCATAAATAAAAAAAAAGCATAATTAATGATAAAATATGTGCAGTAAAATAAATCCTAATAAAATTGTTTATAAATACAAAAACTCTAATTCTATATTTCATTTATTTCTCATAAGTTTAATGAGACCGTTTGATTTTAGCAACATTAGATGAAGCAGGACGATTATGACCACATTCTATTAATTAGAAAACATCATTCGTACATGTAAGCAAAATAAAAAGATTACCTTCTTATGATGATGCAACAGTATCATCACTTAAATTATTTTGATTTTCATTATTGTTGTTCGATATAGTTCTTCTCTTACTTTTATTGACAACGTCACACGCCATCGATACCAAGTGCTTGTAAAAATTAGATACTTGAAAGTTTTTCCGATATTTCACAAGACCAACTTTAGTTCCGCACCCACATTTAATTTTTGCTGTTATACTTGTGTCGTTTAACGATGTAAGAATTAAGTAATAATCACTACCTTCAATTAATGATATTTTAGAAGAAAATTTTTCACACCAATTGCTGATAGAGTTTATAATAAAATTTCGATGGTAATGTTCGTCAACAGACATAGTAGTTGATGGTTGAACGAGATCTGTTGTAGAAGATAAAAGCGATTGTTATTGTTGAGAAGATGAATTTTCACTCATCGTCGATGAGGTAGTAGTAAGAGGTGGAATGACCGAAGTAGATAGCTTGTTCTGATAACTTAAAATTTTCATAACTTCAGCTTGTTTGCAAATAATTAATTCACGAAAATAATTCATTATGCTTTTGATGTCTGGTTTAACAATATATTTATCATCATCTGTTTTCAAGCATAATTTTTCCTTTAAAAGATTTAAAGCAGAACACTTAATATTTAGAATGGCAAAAACATCAGGCATAAATAAAAACGAATCAGGACTACGAATACTTTGTATTTCGAGCAGCTGTGCTGCATTGTCACCAACAATTCGTTTAGCAACATTGTAGAATTCTGTATCTGTATAAGAAAGAATATCATCAGGCAGTAATGATGTGTTAATATAACGTTTGGATTTAGCCATGAAATTAATTTCAACAAATTGCAGTAATTAAACACTACTAAAAATATATCTATTCCTGTTAATACACGAGATGAAAATAATAAAATATGAACACCACGTTTCTTTTTTTCCTTCTTCTCGTTCGTCCAGACGTTCAATCGTTTCAAAGATAAAGAAAACAAGGCAACCTCTCGTTTGGTGAACATACCCTACACACTCTCTTTATCGCATATACTACCGTCATCTTTTAAAAAAATTTCAAGTTGATTTTTCAATAATTACTAAGCGCATTTCATATTACATTCCATGTACTCCCCGTACTCCCATCGTACTCCCGGTACTCCCCGTACTCCCATCGTACTCCCGGTACTCCCCGTACTCCGGAGTACGGGGGTACGCCGCTTCCCCCTTTCTTCATTCTCAAAAGCTCTTAGCGCGATCCCTTGCGGGATTAAAAATGTGAAACACGATAAACCTATTGTTACTAATTAAATGGAAATCCTTTTGTTCCATTTCCTTAAGACACATTTGTAGCTAACCGTATATCTGATGCTTTACAACTACAGTTTCTCTGTCACGGTCTGTGATGGGTACCCGAATTCTCTGTCACGGCCAGTGATGGGTACCCGGGTTCCCTGTCACGGTCTGTGATGGGTACCCGGGTTCTCTGTCACGGTCTGTGATGAGTACCCGAATTCTCTGTCAGGGTCTGTGATGAGTACCCGAATTCTCTGTCACGGTCTGTGATGGGTACCCAGGATCCTCTGTCATGGTCTGGGATGAGTACCCCATTTTTTTGGCACCAATGACCATTTGTTTTGGTACGAAGGACCAATTTTTTGGCACAAATGACGATTTTTTTGGTACAAATGACCACGTAACGATGGCACAAATGACCAGGTAACTATAGTGAAAAAACGATAATGTAACTACGACATCACTCATCAGGCAACTACGGTAAAAATGAACATATCGCACTGATACTGCTGATTATTTTGATGCTGCGTAAATAAATACTTTAAAAATGACACATAGATAATAGTATTTGAACTAGGCAAGAAAATTTTTCAAGGTTAGATAAGTATTTTTATGAAGATATTTATTTTACAATGGACCGATTATTTATCTATGCATCAAATTTGGTTTGTATGCTTGTTAACGGGCACAAAATATTTTCGATAATATGATTTTTATTAGCTAATATTGTATTATTTAAATAACATAATATTAATTTATTTGTGTCAAAAATGGCGCTAAGTTTAATATTTGAAATATTTCGCAATAATATCTGTATTGTTATTTTATTGAATAAATGTAAATCATAACGTAACGCCAATTTTACTCTTGATATGGAGGAAGATGAAAATAATATTAACAACAAAAAAATGGAACGTTTATTGGTATGATCAACGACGCGATGATATTGGTTTCGAAATCTTTTCCATTTGTCAAGTCTTACATCCTTCAATCACAAACAATTATGATCGGAACAAAATTTTACTTTTAGAACAACACTTCGAAAATCTTTTGTTTTATTTATGTACAACAAGAAAATGATCTATAACTATGTAAATTGGTACTACTTAAAAATACATGAATATATTTTCCATCTGATAATATATAATTTAATAACTTTTCATTCGAGCAAATCTTTTTTTATAAAAAAATCATTACGAAAACACATTCACAGACAAAATATGCTAGATCAATAATATTTTGTATTTTACGTACGAATTAATTAGTTTCGTTGATATTCGTTTTTATTTTCGATTTTTCGGTCTAATTTACATTGCCAACTAAGACCTATAATACAAAGTAGATATAATACAATCAACAAGCATCTCTAGTTGATATGTCT